AAGGTGGGCATTAAAGTTACAAGGAAGCAGTTGATAGATAGGGTGGGGGGTGCCTTTTGTGAAGCAAGAGCATATAAGTGAAGTCAGGGTGTGGGTAATACAAAGTTTCTAGGAAAACTGTAAATAATCCTGTTTGATTTACGGGTGCTTGTTGAGCTGTGGCTGGAGATCATAATTCCACCATCTTTGAGATCAAATTCCACCACATTGTGAAGAACCTTGAATGACATACTGGGGGGCTTAGAACTTATTTGCATACGCAGGAGAGCCTGCCTATTCAAATAAGTGTGTGTCAAGGGATTTATTACCAATTGTGAATAATTTCTCTTTTATAAGTGTTCTTTATATGCTGTGAAGAAATTAAACATATCTGAAATGTTTCAAAGAGGAAACAATTGTTTTCATTCCATCTCACATAGACAGTAGCGTTATTGGCTGATATTGCTCAGTGGGTAAGCGATAGCATGGCATCAGCACTTAGAGCCCCCTCGCGTGCACAATGAAGTCAGCTAATCATGCTGGTTGTTGGGGTTTTTTTTCCTACAATAATGAGACATTTCTATTTTCTTTTATGCTTTAGGAAAGATTAAGAAACTTCAAGGAACTCCAAGCTAAATTTCAAAAGCTTGATGAGCCATCTCTTCTAGAACCTATTAAATTCCCAGCAGGTGTTTCTCAAAAGGGTGGCATTGGAAGCACACAGTCAACAAGAATTTTGGCAAATGGGAAACCTCTCTCATCCAACCACAATCAGCCCTCACCATATTGTCCCAGTGGTGAACCCCAGCCTCCTAAACTCCAGAAAATGAAATTGGCCCAGAAGAGCGAGATTCAGGAATGTTCTAATTCCCCAGGAAGGTCTTCTGGTTCTGCAGTAAATTCACAAAAGGTTTCTGCGCTTTTAGACATGAATCAGTCAAATGCCGAGATGACCAATAAGAAGAAAGTAGTGATGATCAGTAGCTTCAGAGACAAGCTCTTGAACTGGGAGAAGGCTTCATCTCAGAAAAGCGAGATGTCCTCAGCCTTCCCCCTTGCCAATTGTGGAAGTAGGGCCTTCCATCTGCAAGAGCAGAAGACCATGGGACTTACCCCAAAGGAGCCCAGGGGAAAGCTGGAAATGAAAGGAGCCCAGACTCTTCCTCCCCCGGGGCACTTGATGGTTCAAAGGAAATCACATCCCCCCTCAGAAGAGCCCACGTTTTTACTTTCTCAACATGGAAGGAAGAACCTAGAACATACTGGCCCCAAGGGGAGCCCCGTAGCAAGTGCCTGCCAGCCTATTTACGATAATGAGCTCACCAATCACAATCCAGGTGAGAAATCTAATTCCCGCAGTTCTGCAGGGAGCACTCACTGTGTTTTTCTAAGTTAAAACTTGATGACTTGGGAAGGGCACCTATGCAACCTCGTCAATGTTTGCTCCAACTCCAACACACGTATTCTAGGCTCATCTGCTGAATCGGAATTTCAGGTTTGGGTAAAGTGATTAATCTCCTAGAATTGTATTGTGAGACCATTTGGGCAAACTTGGATATGAATCCTAGCTCTACTTCTTACAAGATGCATGAACTTGTGCAGTCTGTTTAACTTCGTAGAGCCTTGTCTGCTCTCCTATAAATCAGATTCATCATCGGTCTTCTCTGTCTTAGCAAACAGCACAACCATCCTCCTAGTTGCTTGAGCCCAAAACCTAGGAGTCATGTTGTATTTCTCTCCTCCCTTTCGTTCTTTGCATCCAATCCATCAGCAAGCTCTTGGTTCTACCACCAAAGTATGTTCTGAATCCCTCCACTTCTGTCCATTTCTGTCCTCTGCCCACATCCACACCACCATCCCCTCTCACCTGAACCACTGCCATGGCCCCAATGGTCTTCCAGCTTTCACACTTTTGCCATTTTGTATTCAATTCTTCTCCTAGCAGACATACTGATCCTCTAAAGTATAAGTCACATCATATCAGTTTGCTGCTCAGATTCAACTCCAGCCATTCAACAGTGGCTCTTGTGATTTGGACCTTGCCTACCTTTCTTATGCTCTCCTCTCTCTCCACATTGGAATTCTTGTTATTACTTAGATATACCAAGCTAGTTCCACCCCAGGGCCTTTGCACTGGCTGATCTCTCTGCCTGGAACACACTTCCCCCAAGTCTTTGATGTCTCACTCCCTCACTCTATCAGGGTCTCTGCTCAATGTCACCCACTGTGAGTTGACCTTGTGGAATGTTCTAGCTAAAACACCCCACCCCCATCACTCTCCATTTTCTTTCTTTTTTTTTTTATAGCCAGGGTATTTTATTAATTGTCAACTTTGTCATTGTTTGCCTTATGATACAGAAGTTCACTCTCCATTTTCTTACATTGGTTTGGTTTTCTTCATATCACTTATCCCTATCTGGTATATTATATATTTGTTTGTTTATCTTCATATCACTTATCCCTATCTAGTACATTATGTGTTTGTTTGTTTGTTTGTTTAACTCAGTAAACTATAAGTTACATGAGAATAAAAACTGTCTTCTTTACCACCATATCCCCAGCACCTGCAAGAACAAGGGCAGGTTCAGTGGGTCCTCAAAACATACGTGTTGAATGATTGAATGAATGGACAGATGGAGTAGATGAACGGGTCTCCTGCTTACAGTCTTACGTGGTTTCTTTTCGCACTTAGAAGAGCATCTAAATTACTTACTACTTATTGCACATGACTGCTTCTTTGTGTCCCTGCTTATATCTCTGACTTACCTCCTACCTCTCTTCCCCGGGCTCACTAGCCCATAGTCTAGTTGACTAGACTTCTTCTGGTTCCTTGAAAAGACTTTGTTGTGATTCAGGACTTTTAACATTACTGTTCTTTCTTCCTTAAAAACTCTTTTCTTTGACTTTTGTATAGGTTCACTTAGGTCTAAGTTCAAATGACACTTTCCCAGATAGTTGTCTCCAACCTCCCTATCTAAATACCACTAGCTCACCACCAAGAGTTGGCACATTTTTGTAGTACCCTGTTTTATTTCCTTTATAGAACTAATAGAATTCTATAATTATCTTGTTGGTTTGTTTACATGTTTGTCATCAGTCTCCTCCTATTAGAATGAAAATTCCTGAGGCCTGAACTGTATCTGTTCTTGTTCGTAACTCTATCCCCAGCCCCTAGAACCATGCCTGGGATAGTGGATAAAGTTATTAATGAAGAGATGGGAAGGGAGAGAGGATGAATGGGAGGAAAGCAGGAAGGATGGATCACCTACCTGGTGGAGATGTTGAGAGAATTAAGGGAGATAAGCCAGGTGAACCTCTGAGCACAGTGCCTGGTAAAAAATTAGAAGCCCAATTAGTAAGTGATCATTCATTTTCACTATGTCTCCCCCTTAATTTGATAAAGACTGAACTTACTGGCATTGGGACTTATAATTAAAGCCTCAGAAGAGGGGAACTTTGACCCTGCTGGGAGGGCAAGAAAGAATCCCTCCCTCCCTGCTTGCAGAGGATAGCAGGGCTTTGAGAAAGTTGCATTGGGGTATTCGTGAAACACTTGTCAATTTTAGTTTTACCATGTGGTTAACCACTATATTATATAAGCCAAAAATCAGGGCACTTGGAAAATATAAGATTTTGTGCTATGTTTAGTGGAAGAGGCAGATATGATTTTCATATATAGTATTGGAATTTCTGTTGGAATTTGGCTATGAGTGCAGAAGGGTACAATATATGAAATTGGGACTGTCCTGGAAGAACACAAAACCCACAGGTGCCCATGTGCCAAGGTCAGCCTTGAAGCCTGTCCTAGGCTGAGCGTGGACATCAGAGATCAATTCTTGCTCCCTGTATCCATGTTATTTGCCCATCATAAGTGCCTGAAGAACCCTTTCAGGCAAGAGTCATTGTCAATTTCCTCTGAAGTAGGCCCTGNATATGGTATTTGTATTTCTCTGTCTGACTTATTTCACTCAGCATGATACCCTCTAGGTCCATCCATGTTGTTGCGAATGTCAAGATTTTGTTCCTTTTTATGGCTGAGTAAGATTCCATTGTATATATGTACCACCTCTTCTTTATCCAATCATCTCTTCGTGGACACTTAGGTTGCTTCCATATCTTGGCCATTGTACATAGCACTGCAGTGAACATAGGGGTGCATATATGTTTTCAAATTAGTGTTTTGGATTTCTTCAGATAAGTACCCAGGAGTGGTACTTAAAAGGTAGTTCTACTTTTAATTTTTTGAGGACACTCCATACTTTTTTCTATAGTGGCTGCACCAATTTGCAAACCCACCAACAGTTCATGAGTGTTCCCTTTTCGCCACATCCTCTTCAACACCTATTGTTTGTTGATTTATTGATGAGAGCCATTCTGATAGGTGTGAGGTGATATCTCGTTGTGAGTTTAATTTGCGTTTCTCTAATGATTAGAGATGTTGAGCATCTTATCATATGTCTATTAGTCATCTGTATGTCCTCTTTGGAGGAATTTCTGTTCAAGTCCAATGCCCATTTGTTAATTGAATCGCTTGTTTTTTTAATGTTGAGTTGTATGAGTTTTTTATAAATTTTGGATATTAACCCCTTATCAGATGTATCATTGGAGAATATCTTCTCCCATTCAGTAGGTTGTCTTTTCATTTTGTTGCTGGTTTCTTTTGCTGTGCAAAAACTTTTTAGTATGATGTAGTTCCATTTGTTTATTTTTTCTTTTGTTTCCTTTGCCCAAGGAGATATATCAGAAGCAAAATATCACTAAGAGCAATGTCAGAGAGTTTACTGCCTATGTTTTCTTCTAGGATTTTTATGGTTTGAGGTCTTCACATTTAAGTCTTTAATCCATTTTGAGTTTTTTCTTGTATGTGGAGTAAAAAAGTGGTCCAGTTTCATTTTTTTGCGTGTATCTGTCTAGTTTTCCCAGCACCATTTATTGAATAGACTGTCTTTACCCCCATTGTATGTTCTTGCCTCCTTTGTCATAGATTAATTGACCATATGTGTGTGTGTGTGTGTATGTGTGTGTGTGTGTGAGAGAGAGAGAGAGAGAGAGACAGAGAGAGAGAGAAAATCAGAGAAAAAACATGCAAATAAGCTCCCAGACACCTGCTTTATGTTTCTTGTTCAATTTTCCCCCCTTCCTAAATCTTCAGAGAGCAGGTGTGAGTCAACTGTAAACACAGTGAAAAGGTCAGCCAACATTCCCTCAACTGACAGAATCAGAGCTCACTAGCACGGAGGTTGTCTGTATACATAAAATTAAGACCTTTAATGATCAGGAAAAGATGGTGTCTCTTACTTTTTGAAAAGGCTCCATTAGATGTCCTCCCACACTTTACCTCTACCGCCTCCTATCTGTTGAAAACAAAAGATAACAAAATGCACTTAAAAATAAATTAGAGCTAATGAGAGAAAGGTGGAGCAGTGGGAAGAGCCCCGAGCAGGAGTCGCGTCTAATGCTACCTACCTAGACCACCGACTCACTGTACGATTCTGGGCATATCCCTTCCTCTGCCCCAAGGGTTAGGTTGCTATTACTACCACTAGTTTCATATACTGAATTTGAGCTGGATTTAGAAGAGAGAATACACTCTCCCAAGGGGAGCCAAAAATACAAGAAGATCATCTAGCTTCTTACAAATAGCTTTCATTTATCACAGCTTGCTCTGTGTCAGGCGCTGTTACAAACACTCTATATATGGTCNTTTAAATTAAAAAAATAATAAAATAAAACAAATTATTCTGAACAAGTAAATGCTATGATGCTAAGCCGCCTTAGATACAACTTCCATGGAAACTGGCACTTGTTCGAGAAGAACATTTCCATATTCACGGTATTAATCTTCAATACAGATATTAGAAATAGAGTATGTAGAGTCTTATTACTGAAAGGGGGCCTGGCAATTATCTGGTGCAGCCAGGCCATGTAACATAATGTTAACAAAAGCCTGGGTTTTTAATCCACGCTTTACCACTTAAACACCTATGTAACCTTGAATGTAACCTTGGACAAATGCCTTAAGCTCTGCAAACCTCGGTTTCTACTTACGAGTATAAAATGGGATATTAGTAGTACCTAACTCATACAGCTGTGGTGAGGGTTAAATGAAATAATGATTGTTAAGTGTTTAGCACAGTGCCTAGCATCTAAAGAGTGTTCAAAAAGCTTGCATAGCTATTATATAACCTCCCACCAAATGCAGGAATCCATGCTCAGAATTTTAGTCTCTTCAAAAAGTCTTTTCTCATTACCTGGAGAATCCAGTGTTTTTCTTTGGTGGGGCAGATTTTACTCATTTAACACATATTTGTTGAGCATCTACTCATAGATATTGAGAGTACAGCAGCGTATAAAATAAACAAAAATAACTTACATGTACGAGTACATGCACACACATATTTGTTTGTTTATTCAAAAGTCCTTGAAGTTGAGCTAGAAAAACAGGTGACCTGCCACCCCAGACTCCCAGCCATCTGTCCAAGATCTACTAGTTGGTACAGTGTACGTTATCTTTCCATGACAGTTCTTAAAACATCTAAGGACTACATTCTTCTCTAAACTAAAATTCTCATTGTTTTCAACCATTATTCACAAAACAGGAATCTTTGTGTTTTAGCTGTTTCTATGGATGCTGTATGTATTTTGATCACCCTGTTAGGAAATCAGTGCATGTATAATAGCCACTTTCATTTCTGAGTGTCTTCGTATTGTATATTAAGTATGAGAATTCACATTGTGTAATGAAACAAGTACAGGTCTGGGATCGAATTAGCATAGGTTCAAACCCTTCCTCTGTTCCTTAGACATGTCTTTTCTTAACAGCTCAGAACGGTGACGTATGCATCTGTAAAGTGAACACAATAGTATTTACTTCACTGATTGCCTTGAGGACCAAACGAGATAAATTGTATAAAGCCTGGAGTACTCAGAAAGTGCTCCATGAGTCTTAGTTTCTTCAACCCTTGACCTCTCCAGCTCTTGTTATCTCTGGAATATTGATAGCTCGTTAGTTCCCAACAGCGAAATGACTCTATGGAGATTCTTCTTTGCCATCCCTCTTTCATGGGAAGCAGGCTGGCTGGCCTCGCTCTTGCACAGCAGCCCTTATTTGAGTGAGCAAAGCAGGTTAGTCCCAGAGAAGCCGTCATCGCTGGGTCTCCGTCTGTCCTTAGCAGAGCTGGCTAATATTTTATCTGTTAGCTGTAAATATGGCTTTTCTCCCGTTAGCAAGTGTGAGAGGGTAGTCCTGACTCAGGGAATCTCAGAGTAGATGCTAAGGAAGAAAGAGGTCCTTTATTTCACTAGCAGAAAAGATTCAGACAGCATAGTGTCTCTCTGATAAGGGTCTGGGGGTGGATCTCAGGAGTCTACCATTTTCTCTCCCGAACTTTTTGATTTTGTATTTTTGTTTTGATGATAGTCTTTGAAAGATAATATAAGCCTATTTTGAATCTTCTGTGTGACCTCTTTCAACCTAATACTTTGGAACATGCTTTTGTGTTTCTGTTTTTCATATTTTTCCCCCATGCAGACTGGGAAACACAAATGCCTCCTCGGGCTGAGCGGGTTATGTGACTGTGCCTGGGACTCAGGTTAGACTACAGGGACAACTAGATGCTGTGGAAGTGGGGAATAAATGCCATATCTAAGACATTCAAGTAGAACAATGACAATAACAGAGCAACGACACTGTGGCCAAATGAAACATATCGGTTGTCTTTATTTGAGTGCCATAAAGAAAGTTTTTAAAAAGCATTAGGATAGTAACTGGGGATTGAGAGTGAAATAAAGGAAGAACAGGATGTTCAGGAAAGGTCTCTCTAAGGCGGTGACACTTAGAGTGACACCTGGATGAGGACCCGGCCAGGGAGGGTCTAGGAGAAGAACATTGCAGGTGAGGGAGCAGCTGGTACAAAGGTGTTCTCCCTTCCCACATTTAAGGCGCCAGACAGGAGGGGAGCATAGCTAAAACACAGTGCACTAGGGGGATGGATGGTGGTGGTGACTCTTGTGAGCCATGGAATAAATTTGGATTTTGCTCTAAATGCATTAAGAAGCCACAGGAGAATTTTAAGCCAGGCAGTGATGTGAGCTGACATTTATTTTGTAAAGTCCACTCTAGATGCTACATAAATAATACCTTTAGTAGGGAAACTGGAAAAGGGGAAGACAGCCAAGGAAGCCACTGCAACAACAACAAAAACAATGATAATAACATTTAAAAAAGCAATCCATACATACATAGTATCTGTTCTAAGGACATATATGATTTGTGACAATCTTAAGAAGTGGACAAAACCATCCCATTTTATAGATGAGGAAACTGAGTCACAGAGAGGTGAAATAACAACATGCACAAGGTGGTAGAAATAGAGATAAAGAAATTAATGAATTCAAGTTACATTTGGGAGGAAAGCCAGCCATTGCTGGATCAGCTGTGGGGAGGGAGATGTGAGAGAAAGAGCGGACTCTAGGACGGCTTCTGCATGATTTGCTGTTTCTATCACTCATGATATGAACACATGTGGAGTGCTTGGCCCATCACCAGTGCTCAGTACAAGACTTCCTGAAAGCTATTTGGGATTGCTTTCTACTTGGCAAAACAAAAGAAGCCCGTTTCTGTGCCTTTGTGCATGTAAGATCAAAATCTCTAAAGGCTGGTGTTTACATTCTTTGCTACTACAGCTCTTTCCTGAAAGGCTGTGCTTGAGGTCGTTGTGACTGGCATAGGCATGCCCTGACTGCCCAACAGCCAAGCAGGCTCCTCCTATGCCATCCAGTGAAAGTGGGCCCCAAGACCCCAGTGCGCTGACCTGAATTGCTACGGGTCAAGAATAAAGACGAGGACATTTTTAAAGCCTGTGTCTTACAGTTTTAGATCTAGAACATTCAGGTGTCTTCAGCTTCAGCCACTTCAATAACTTCTTATTATCCCTTTTTAGTTGGGTTTCAGGGACACAACAGGCCACTGTTTGGCCTGCCTTTCACAGCAGGAGCAGTGAATTTACTTAGGGTTTTTTCTCTTCTTTCATGTTTTCAAGTATCCCTCCTTTTCAAAACAATCACCTAAAGATTCTATGTATTGAGCACTTTCCACAGACAACACAGTATACCCTATACTTACACCAACTCTCTCATTTTAAAACTCCCGACTACAACTACCCTGTGAAGTAAGTGGGCTCTCTGACCATAGCTATGATCAGGTTAAATTGCCCAGGATGGTGCAACTGGGTCAGCAGTACCAGAGCTTGACAGGTCAGCCTGGCTCCGGAGCACGGCCTCTCAACCACCACTCCCGGCTGCCTTATTACAGATTCACATGAGATCTTCACCTATGACGAAAGAAGGCAAGGTTTCATAGACACGTGGGCTGCTCCACAAATTGAGCCTGCACGTTCTCCAGGCCAGTGTTCCTCAATGCCTGCGTTAGGATTTCATTTTCTGTCACAGCAGAAAGAGCGGTGTGAGGGAAGCTGACCAGGGTGGAGAACAAGTATGAAAGTAGCTGCAGCCATGCCTTGCTTCTCTCTTTGGTGGCACTCAAAGGGTGAGCAGGCAAAAGTCATGATTTATGAAGAAATCAAACAACCACAAGTTGCGGACTTGGAGCCTAGTTTTGTGCATAGAAACAAAGGTACAAAGGAAGGTTGAATGGAAACTAATCTTTGCGTGTGACCACACTGCTCAGCCCTTTACATCTGTCAGAGCCATTTTCATGCCATGACCATCTCAGGAGGGCAAAATTAATATTCCTGGCTTGTAGATGAGAAACCAAGGGCTCAGAGGTGTTTCATGACTTTCCCTAAAGTTCAAGATAATACAGAGCTTATCTAGGATGTGAACTCAGGACTGTATGTTTATAAAGATGTTTCAGTTACACTGTCTTTTCTCAGAATTTTCAACATGAAGGATTTGGGGAGATATCTATTAGACTGTAAACTCCATGAGGGAAGGGACTGTCTGTCTTTTTCACCTTTGTTTCCCCAGGAAGTTGACATGCAAGTAATTCTTCAATGAAGAAGTAAGTGATAGACCAATGGAGTGACAGATACACCGATTGATGGGGGGATAGATGGACAGATAGAACGATATTCCCTTCCATGAATTTTTATATAAATAAAAGAAAGTTCCCAAGGCTCTGTTAGCTTTATTTTTGTATTAATTTGCATATGCAATATAAAGCTAAATAATTAGAACAATCTGAGCTCTTCGTTTGCCCTTGCATATCATGTAAGGACTACTACCATGTGAAGATATGGACTTACATGAAATCCTCTCTTTCTTAGTCTAGTGTCCAACAAGCGACACTCTGTGAAGAAGCTTGTCCTAATTATTTTAGCCCTCGTGGAAGGGACTCTCCTATCTTCCCCCTCTTCTATGGACTCAATACACTTTGAATTCAATATTTATTTAATCAAACTAATCATTGAGCACTTCACCTCCATTTTACATTTAGAATAAAATTCAGAGATCACATACTCTTTACCAGGGCCAAGAAGGTCCTACATGTTCTGGCCCCTCTTTACTCTCCACTCCTCACTCCTCTCCTAACCGCTTCTAACCCCCTCCCTCCCTTGATCACTGTCTTCAGTCCACTGACAGGCATTTTGGCTCCTCTTCAAACACAACAAACACATTCATACCAAGCAGAAATGCTATCTGGGAGGTGATCATTTTCCTGTGTATAGAATGGTCCTCTTCCAGATCTTCACCTGATAGCTCCTTCTCATCATTCAGGATTCATTCATTCATTCATTCATTCATTCATTCATATGAGGACTATTTATTGAGCCCCAAGTATGTGCTAGGCATTGTTCTAGATGCCAGTAATCCAATAGAAAACCAAACAAAATGTTTACCCTCATAGAGCACACAT